TGTGTGAGGAGTGATCATGGAACCTTTGGATACAACTAAAGCCGAGTAATCAAGAGGCTTCTTTGGTTTAAAGATGTTATGTTAAGAATGAGTAACAATACGAGCAGGTTTAGGAGTAAGGCTACTTACTTGCTGCAAAGAAGAGCTGGAAGCATCTTCACTCAATGCCGGAGTAGATGTGGATTGTGATTGGACTGGAGACTCATGAGAACTGGTGGTTGAAGACAAACTAAAAGTAGCAGGTGGTAAAGTGATAGTGTATGATGGCTGCAACAGAGGAGCTGACATGACAGGGGGTAGAGAAAGGTCATGTAAAATGATTGTAGTATTGTTCTGATCATGAGAGATAGGGGTGAGTGATCAGTGGGTACAACATCAAGCCAGATGTGGAAATTAGATTCAGTTAGCCTTGGTAAAGAGGAGAACATAGTGGCAAAAGGGAAGTTATTTTTTAAGAAAAGGCAAAATACATAAATTACCCCCTGAACTATGGACCAAATTCCTATTACACATATTTTACGGACTAAAATTACGTTACGCACTCAACCTTTCCAGAGTGTGCCTAAGACACACCTCTTTGTCTACGTGGCAGGTGCGTGTTTTACAAACAAAATAAGGCGTTTGAACCGTAAAAAACTGTATATCTTATGCTTTATTTGAAGGGTCAAGATTTAATAAAACTTATCAACCGGGTAAATGGATTTTCTTTTTGTCCTTTTCCAATATCTTCCTTTTTTTATTTTTCTAAAGTAATCTGGTTCAAATTGAAGATAATACAGATGTTTACTATCCATTTTATCCAGTTTCAATGAAGAATTAAAATTGTAACAGATTGAGGAAAATAATTTGAAAAAATCGATTTAGGAAGAAAATTTTAATAGTGTAGAAGAATATGTAATGAAATCTTCAAGTGAGATTGGAATAACAATGTAGAAGAATCTTCTCTTCTGTTTTTCCTTTTCAATGGGGCAGCCATGGAGAAAACCCACTTACTCAAAAAATTTTAGAAAACAAAATAAATCAAAAGGTAGAAGCAGTTGATTAGGGCTTTTATTTCTTTTGTTTGAATTGTAAGGTGGAGTTCTGAGTTTTTTTTGGTGGTCGACGACAATGGAGATAACGAGAAGGATGTGGAAGGTGAGTAGTGGTGGTGGGATGGTTAAAAGTGGGTTATATTTTTAGTCTATCTATGATTTTTTCTTGAATATGTGTATGTTAATGGATGAAGGTGAAGGAGAAATGTTGATGAAGGCAGAGATATGAGCTGAAAAGCTCTAGTGAAGGCACGATGAAAGAGAGGGTTCCTTTTCATTTTTGCTTTTTTTTTAAAAAAAACTTGGGTGGGGTTTGTTTTTCTTTTTATTTTTTTAAGTCAATGACACGTGTCGTTGTATGACTGGTGCGTGATATTACACGTGTTTTGAAAAACTGGTCAAGAAAAAAGTGGTGTGTCTTAGGTACATTCTAGAAATGTTGAGTGTGTAAAGTAATTTTCGTCCGCAAAAAGTGTGTAACGGGAATTTGGTCCATAGCTCAGGGGGTAACCTATGTATTTTGCCTTAAGAAAACAACATGGCGAGAAAGGAAAAGCTTAGAGGTAGAAGGATCAAAACATTGGTAGCACTGATATTTGGTGGAATAGCCAAAAGACACATGGTTTGGATTTTGGATCAAGTTTATAGTTAGTATAGGGACGTAGCCAAGGATAGCACAAGCAACCAAATGTGCAGATTTGCCTTGTAGTATCGTCGTGGTCATTCTGTTTATAAGATAGACAATTGTTGAGCATGCGTAAGGCCAGTATGCAAGTGGTATGGAGGCTTGATGTAAAAGAGTCAAAGTTGTTTCCATAATATGACGATGGCGTTGTTCAGCATTACTAACTCTTTGAGGAGTGTAGGGGGTGATAAAAGGTGTTGAATTCCCATATCTGAAAGTGTTTTTGTGAGACCCTCATATTCTCCACCACCATCAAAATAAACAGTAAGAATTGGAATACTAAATATTTTTCAACAAGCAATCTGAAGTTGATAAAAGTTGAAACAACATCAGATTTCCATTTTAAAGGGAAAACCATATGTATTTGGTGAAATGATCCACAAAGATAACATAGAAGCGAAATCCGTGAGAGGATATGACTGGAGAAGGTCCACATACATCAGTAAATAGTAGTTCTAGTGGTCTTGAACTTTTCAAAGTTGATTGTTTAAATGGTAAACGATGACTTTTATTACAAAGACAAGAATTACAATGATCTTGATAAGAATTGAAAACGGGCAAATTAAACTGGGAGACAATTGACTTTAAAACTTTTAAATGGGGGTGACCAAGACGACGATGCCAAAGGTTGAACGAGGAATTGTTGGCAGAAGAAGCAAGATAGGTTGCTCGTGGTGGCGAGGATCCAGTCCGAGCTCTCTTCGGGCCTTGAGCCAAAGGTGCTCCCGTGGTCAAATCCTTCACAACAAAGAAAGTAGGGAAAAAAACTCAACAGATATTTTATTTTGCTCGCAAAATTGAGGAACAGATATTAAATTGCGATAAATAGAAGGACCACATAAAACATTTTTCGAAACAAAGTTTCGAGAAGTAGCGGGAAGAGTAGTATGTCCTGTATGGGTAATTTTAATACCATTACCATCACCAACGATTACATCACCGGTACCAGTGTAGTCGAGTAAGCCTGCAGGTTCTGTGTGTCAGAAGTAATGTGGTGTGAAGCCCCAGTATCCATGACCCAATTAGAATTTTTTGATGATCCCTTAACTGAAAAGTTGGCTTGGGGCTCATTTTAATTATGAGAGCGTGACCGACAAACCTTGGCATATGTCCAAATTTCTCACATAACTGGCATTGAACTCGAGGTTTGTTGCTGTTGGAAGTGGATGAGCGCCAATTCTGCTGGCGATTGGAGTTGCCAGTAGATTGATTTCGAGGCCAATTGTTGTTTTCATTGGGAGATTGTTGGTAGTTCTTTCGGATGTTATTGCCATTGTAGTTGTTACTGCTATTATAGTTGTTCTGTCGTTGTGAATGGCGATTTTGCTGGTTGGATCTTTGGGTATATTGGGTTGTGATGGCAGCAGATTCTTGTCGATGATGAAGGAAAACTTCATGACTGCTTAGCTTGTCAAAAAGCTCTTCAAGAGTGATGGGTGTGTCTCTGGCGCGAATAGCAGCACTCATATCATTGTATTCAGGACCAAGGCCACTAAGAACCTTGATCACTAGGGAAGCACAATCAATAGGGGATCCAGCAATGGCAATTTCATCAACAAGGGCACGTATCTCATTGAGATATTGAGCGACGGGCTTGGTACCTTTAACAAGGCGATTGAGAGAGTCTTCGAGATCATAGACTCTTGTTTGCGACTTGTTTGCATACTGTTGAGTGAGTTTTGTCCAAGCAATATAGGCATTGGGCGCCGTGGCAACTAGGGGCGCAATAGTGGCATCAACTGACGCCATGATGGCATGTCGGATAAGGCTATCTTGTCGGAGCCAATTTTTGTAATTTGGTTCTATGGCTGGCGGGCATGGAAGTGTTCCATCAATGTATGAAACAAGATCATATCCAAGAAAAAGCATCTCATGTTGTGCTTTCCATGTTAGAAAATTGCTGCTACCAGTCAACTTCATTGGAAGTTGAGAGGTTGGGTTGATTGTGACAAACTGGCTACCCTGAGTGATCGGATTAATAGCACCATGAGAAGGAATAACAGATGAATTGGAATCAGTAGATGAAGTTGGTACAATTGGGGTGGTTGCTGAACTTGAGTTGATAGTCATAGTAGCGAAGGGAAGTTCAATAATAACAGCAAAGGAAAGGACCGGGAAAAGAAAACTCGTTAGAGCGTAAAGGCTCTGATACCATAAAGAGATTCAAGAGTGAGTTTACAGAGAACTGCTTCATCTATTATATTGAGATTCTTTAAATACAAGATGGAGGAACAAGGTTGCTCAGGTACAAAAGGAAAGAAGGATCCTGAAAGATCGCAATCAAAGATATACATAAAAAAAAAATAAGGATTGTAATCAGAAAAAATAAATTACAGAATAATGAAAAAGATTACAATGAATCAAATATAGAAAAATATTGTGTTGCCTTATTAAATTATAATTAAGAAATTAACTCAAAAGGTTCACCTTTAAATCGTCGGGTTATTATAGTGTGTTTGTTTAAGCCATTCAAAGGTCTTATATAGTGTTTAATACTGATATAATAATCATACCCGGTGTTTCAGGCGTATTTTTATGTAAATTATTTATAGCTGTTATACATGGGTTTTTTTTTCCTTAGGTGTTATAAATGATATAATTCTAGTATAATTGTGATATATTATAAACCATTTATAGGTATAGTTTAATAAAGAATTAGAAATTATATATAGTAATTATACAATATAAATCATGTATAATTAATAATATCATATAATCTTAGAATAATTAGGTATATTATTTGCAACTTGTAATATGGACAAAATCAAATAACTCCTTAAAAAGAGTGCATAATTTAAAAAATAGAAAATAATTTCGTTTTAACAAGAATTCTTAATATACACACGTGTATCGAATCTCCATATTTGGAAAGGGTTGAAAATGGTGATGAAATGGGGTGGGGGGATGGGAGAGGGATTTGGGAGAGAGACAGAGAAGAGAGGATTGAAATTGTGTATATTTTTGTATAGTCAAACTACTTTATAACAAGCACATTTTTTTTGATATATTTTGAATGTTATATTGAAATATTGTTATAAAAATGTATTTGTTCCGATATTTTTTGAATATTATAGTGAAGTATTGTTATAAAGAACATATTATAACATAATATAACATAAAAGATCAGTATTGAGAGAAACTTATCAGATAATTGATCCTTAAATTTTGGTTAGTATTTAGTTTGAAAACCACATTCAAATTTTAAATATATGCTATAAAATTTGTACTATACTATTTGTTTATATAAAAAATTTTGAAAAACTTAACCTACCGAGTAAAAATCTCTAATTTTTTCTGGAGCAGTGAAAGCCCAAGCCTCATTTAAGACGTAACATCCAAAGTCCCATCTGTTCACACTCTCTCCATTACTGCACTTTCAAAGCTCGCCAACGGCCATAGCTTTGTTTTCATCGACAGAGCACTATATATAAATCAATTTATTGTCAAGCATTATTAGTTCCTTATTCGTATTGTCTGAATCTGAGGTGAGTTTTTTTTCTTTGCATAAACATCTATGATTCAAATGCGGTTCGATCCTACATTGATCAAATGATATCTCATCATCTTTCGATTTTTTGAGTTTTTAGTTTGAAATTTGGTTTCATCTTCTATTTGATTAATTTATCGAGTTAAATTAGAATTGCATTTGCGTGTATGGGTTCTGATATATCACTCGCGTGCTACTTGAGCTATGTTTCTTTATTCTTTTTTTTTTTTAAAAAAAATTAAGTTGAGTCTGGCGTGTTAAAATTTTCATGAAACTCAACTTTTAACTTCAGATTAATTTTCCAACCAGTGTTTAGAAACTTTTATCAGTTTTTAGTACTAAAAATTTTCATCAGAACACTATGCAATTCTCTAGCATTATTATTTATCTCTTATATTTACTTTGTTCAAGAAATATTTTTCATTCACCACGGAAATACCGGAAAACATTTTGGAGGAGAATATATTCCATGGAAAGCATTTCAGTTTATACCAAGCACACATTTTTAAGCTTATGGTGCTTGATCATTATTATTTTTGAGCTTGATGGAGGTTGTTCATGCTATACGCGGATCCAATTCGGGATGCCATTGAACTTACTAACCATTTGAATTACTGGGTTCGAAATTTAATATTTGTACATGTTCAGTAGATTCTTTAACAGATATATAAGGTCTGCACTAAGTTGTTGGGTTCGAATGAACCCAGACCTTACCTTGTACATCCGCCCTTGCGTCATGCTAAAATTTCAAGTTCATTGTCGAGGCGTATACGTTGACTTTAAAAACTTGTGTTGTATGGAATCAATATCTAAGAAGTGCACAAGATACAACTATAAATTTTAAGTTTGACATGTACTTACTTACACATGTAAGTTTGACTGATTTAATTTCTCATATTGCCTGGATCATTAATGTCTTGTATATATTTTGTTGGTTCAAAAATATTTTGCTGTACTGACCATCTATGATTCCTTCAGATTCCTCTTCTGTTATTCTGGGCCACTGACTTGCTGGAAATGGCTGCAAACACAACTCCTGGATTGCAAATCCGAGCAACCGAACAATGCATTTCCGCATCTCGCAATATTTCAAATATGACCAGTATAAGTTTCAGTTTTGAAAGTAAAAGAAAATCTTTTACAGATTTTAGAGGTTCATCTTACATCTCGCTCAGCAAGCCAATCGATAGATCCAAATTGACTCCGATAAAATTTGAAAAGATGGCTACTAAAGCAATGTCTGGAGCAAGTGAACAAGTGCCAGTTTCAGGATTACCTATCGATTTGAGAGGTTGCTCTAAAGTGTCTGTAAATTCTCCTTTGATTTGAGGTTTTGTGCAGAAGTTTAGAGTTTTTGCTTGCAATAAGTGATTGCTATTTCTTATTATGCAGGTAAGAGGGCATTTATTGCTGGCATAGCAGATGATAATGGGTATGGGTGGGCAATAGCAAAGTCTCTTGCAGCTGCAGGGGCTGAGATTCTTGTTGGTACATGGGTCCCTGTACGTATATCTTTCACATGTTTGTAAAGTTACTACCATTACTTATAACGTGGCAAAGAGGTAGTCTTTCTAATTACTTTATATTACAGGCACTGAACATTTTCGAAACCAGTCTGCGGCGGGGGAAGTTTGATGATTCACGAGTGTAAGCATGAAAATATTCTATCTTTCCATGTACTGTCTTCTTTCCCACATTTTTCTGATAGATAATGTAATTTAATGTTTTAGGTTGCCAGATGGATCATTGATGGAAATTACAAAGGTTTACCCTCTGGATGCAGTTTTTGACAGTCCAGAAGATGTTCCTGAGGATGTAAGATAAACTATTCTCAGTTCCCTTCTCAACAAACTTATACAAGTCTAATCATACTTGGTGAAATTGGTGCAGGTCAAAACAAACAAGCGTTATGCTGGATCCTCAAAATGGACTGTCAAGGTATATCATGCTTTACATATGTCTTGCTGTTTCTCATATTTTCATCTGGATATATGCCTACATGCAATCATATGTATTTGTTGGTGCTTATATTAAAGGAAACTTATATATATATATATATATATATATATATATATATATATATATATCGGATATTGTTTGGCTCGTTTTAGTATATTCCATCATATCTGTGCAAATTGCTTATAGTTGGCATTCATATAATATGTCAAATCTTCTTCAACCCAGGCTCCCTAAGTTTATTTGGCCAGAAAAGTTTCAGTTATAGTTGATGCTGAAATTTGGTTACAAAAGACTTCATTATATCCTAAGTGTGTCATTGACTGAAATGTTTGTTTGGTTATCAGTAAGGACTTTGTAATATGCTATATGCATCATTGAAACTGAAACTTCTGTTTGGTTATCATTTAATTTAAGTACCATATTCTGCTCCTCTGGCATGTGATATCTCCAGTGTTTTCTCCGCTATCCTTTTAGTTGAATTATCTATCTTGCTCATAAAGTTGTAAAATAGTATTGTATATTTAGGGAATGCAGAGTTATGTCAGCACAGTTGATAAACTTGTTAAATAGCCGTGTTATTGCCACTATTGTAGGAAGTTGCTGAATGCGTTAAACAAGATTTTGGCACTATTGACATCCTTGTACATTCACTTGCAAATGGTCCGGAGGTACACTATTCCTTCGTCCTTTCATTGTTTAATTTCCCTTTACAGTTTTTACAGAGGCCTATTGATGGATCATATTTCACAGCGGAAGCAAACATAGCATCATAATCACGTGTAATCTAAACAATTAGCACACATGGAGATTTTCGGATTACCTCTTGAAGCATAAACACAACAACTCTATATCGTTCTCCAGTTCCTCAGTTGCAAACGCCTCAGCAGATTTCCACAGTCTTCTACTGTGTTACCCAAACAATATCCGAAATTAGAGAATTTTGGGTGGGCAAAATTCTAGTAGAAACCGTAGTGTATTCGTCTCAAAAACGTCCAGCCCTATATCCCTTATATATAGCTGCGTTTTTTAGGTCAAAACCGTTTTCAAAACCTGTTAGGTTTCCTTCTCCCACTAAGGAACAGTTTCCACTATTTCCTATTATTTAGGCACAGTAGGGACACAGAATTTAATTAACAAGACTTCCTATTATGATATTAATTTCGAAATTATGAAATTAATTTCCATCATAATAAATTACGAATTATTCCACTAAAAATTCGTAATTGCACTCCTTAGTTCAATTTCGAAATTCTTCCATAAAACCTTATTTAACTCCCCATGTTAAAATTCAGATACTAATCAATCAAGTTAAATTACTGACTATTTAATTTATTGATTACTTCCTTTATACTTACACTTAACTTATTTCATGTGTCGGATACAAAATCCACCGGCCGGGTTTACACATGAAAACTTATAAGCTTTCATAAAGGAGTATCATCAATTTCAAAACCGAGACATGGATTCTATCAACTAATTATTACTTCGCCAATGTATATCATTGTTATCCAATTTACCAGGCTGATTGACTCACGAAAGAATCTCGCCTTTTAATAAATCAAAACAACAAGTGACATACACAGCTAATAATAGTTATATCAGGATTAAGAGTATAAGTACATTAAATGGACTAGAGAAATTATTTTATAAAGTCAGTATAAAATACTTATCTCTACTTGATCCGTTCAATACATACAAAATGTATTAGCACAAGAAGGTTGAATTAGACCTATTCCCATAATCAAGATAAATTACATTTAATCTTGTGCTACAACCATTCCGATGATTTAATCTTCCGTGTATAAGCTAAACTCTATACACTAAATCATCTACTATGTAAGCAATGAAAAACACAAACCAATACATGATCTATTTAAAACGAAACTTTATGGAATTTAAACAAGTAAATAAATAATTGGCCTTCAGAACACTGCTGCAGATTCTGAAGGCCACTCTGGCCGCGGTCCTGGCGTAACCGCGGTAGGACCGCGGCAGAACACTGCTGCAGATTCTGAAGGCCACTTTGGCCGCGGTCCTGGCGTAACCGCGGTAGGACCGCGGCAGGACGCGTAAACTTCAGGGAACATGGCAGAGGAGCAACCTAGTAAATAAATGATTGTTTATAAAGACTACTATAACAATACGCATGGCTTATAGTATATTCTAACAATCTCCCACTTAGACTCATAACCATGCGTCTATAATTTTGACACCCATTGCTTCTACATGCTTATCAAAAGTCTTCTGTGGTAAGCTCTTAGTAAACGGATCCGCCAAGTTGTTCTCTGACGCAATCTTGGTGACCACTACATCCCCTCTCTGCACTATATCACGAATTAAATGATATTTACGCTCAATGTGCTTTGCCCTTTTATGGCTTCGTGGCTCCTTTGAATTTGCAACCGCACCACTATTATCACAATAAAGTGTAATTGGTGCTTGAATCGAGGGAACCATACCCAACTCTCTCAGGAAGTTACCGAGCCAAACTGCCTCAGAAGCTGCCACATATTCGGCTTCCATGGTGGAATCAGCAACACAAGTTTGCTTGATACTCCTCCAACTTATGGCTCCACCTCCAAGAGTGAACACATTACCTGAGGTAGACTTTCTAGAATCTCTGTCTGATTGGAAATCCGAATCAGTATACCCAATAGGTACAAGGTCATCCGAATGGTAGATCAACATGTAATCCCTAGTCCTTTTCAGGTACTTGATTATATGTTTAACCATCGTCCAATGCTCTTTCCCAGGATTAGACTGAAATATGCTAACAACGCCAACGGCAGAGCAGATATCAGGCCTAGTGCATAACATAGCATACATGAGGCTCCCCACAGCTGATGCATAAGGGACCGCCTTCATCTTTTCTATCTCTTCATCAGTCTTAGGAGACTGATCTTTAGATAGAGAAATTCCATGTCTGAAAGGAAGAAATCCTTTCTTGGAATCATGCATGCTAAACCTAGAGAGTATTGTATCAATATAAAGACTTTGGGACAAGCCCAATATCCTTTTCTTGCGATCTCGCAAGAGTTTGATCCCAAGGATATGAGCCGCTTCTCCCAAATCTTTCATATCAAAATGTGTGGACAACCACTGCTTAACTGAATTCAACATGCCCACATTATTTCCTATGAGCAGCATGTCATCTACATATAAGATCAAAAATACCACTTTGTTCCCATCTCATTTTTTGTATACACAAGACTCGTTGAGACACTGATCAAAACCAAATGTTTTAATCGCCTTGTCGAAACAAGTGTTCCATGCCCTAGATGCCTGTTTCAGTCCATAAATGGACCTTTTAAGTTTACACAACATGTGTTCCTTGCCACTTTCCACGAAACCGTCTGGTTGCATCATATAGATGCACTCATCAAGACTTCCATTAAGAAAGGCTGTCTTGACATCCATTTGCCAAATCTCATAATCATAATGAGCAGCAATGGATAAGAGAATCCTTATAGACTTAAGCATGGCTACCGGCGAGAAGGTTTCCTCATAATCGATCCCTTCTTTCTGAGTGAACCCTTTCGCTACAAGCCTTGCTTTAAAAGTTTGCACTTTTCCGTCTACACCTCTCTTTTTCTTATAGATCCACTTGCATCCAATGGGTTTAACCCCATCAGGTGGTTCTACAAGATCCCAGACTTGATTAGAGTACATTGACCCCATCTCTGATTTCATAGCGGCAACCCACTTATCGGCATCTTTATCATGTAGTGCTTGGTCGTAATTGACAGGTTCGGAAGTATGCTCCTCAGGGATCCTATCATATGATTCTCCCAAGAGCGTATAACGAACTGGCTGTCTTATTACTCTCCCACTACGACTACGCACTACATCACTTGCAACTACACCATTTTGATTCTGTGGTTGAACCACAATCTCATCAGGAACCTGAGTCTCCATGCTATCCAAAAGGATATCAACGACTTCTTCCTGTTGTGCAGTTTGCTCTACATAACTCCCACTACTTTGTGGTAGTATGACTTCGGGCACTTGTTCTTGCGGGACATTAAGTCTATTGACATTTCTCCCACTACTAAAATGCAATGGTATGTCAAATCCGACTTCGGGGTTTTGTATATGGTCGTTTTGTTTATCAGATGACTGAGTTTCCATTCCTTTGCTTAGTTCCTGTAAAACGATTTTACTTTTAGGAACATGATTTACCAAATAGTCCTCTTCAAGAAACTTGGCATTTGTGCTAACAATTACCTTCTTTTCTTGAGGACAATAAAATAAACCACCTTTCGTTCCTTTTGGATAGCCTACAAACACGCATACATCTGTTCTTGCCTCCAATTTATCCGTTTTCCCTTTTAGCACATGTGCCGGACAACCCCAAACTCGAATATGCCGCAAACTAGGCTTGCGCCCAGTCCACAATTCCGTAGGGGTCAAAGGTACTGACTTTGAAGGAACTAAATTCAGAATGTAATTTGCTGTTTCTAAGGCATGTCCCCAAAAAGACGCTGGCAAACTGGAATAACTCATCATTGATCTAACCATTTCCATAAGAGTCCTATTTCTCCTTTCAGCTACACCATTCTGTTGTGGTGTTCCAGGTGCAGACAATTGAGATGTTATCCCACATTCTGATAGATAACCAATGAATTCCGCAGAGAGGTATTCCCCACCACGATCAGATCGTAATGTTTTGATATGTTTATTAAGTCGTTTTTCAGTCTCAGCCTTAAATTCCTTGAATTTTTCAAAGCATTCAGACTTACGACGCAACAAATAGACATATCCATATTTTGAGTAATCATCAGTGAAAGTCACAAAATACTCAAAACCACCTCTTGCCTGGACGTTCATTGGACCACACAAATCAGAATGAATTAATTCTAATTTATCACTTGCTCGATTTCCTTTTGAGGGGAAATTTCGTTTTGTCATTTTTCCTTCTAAACAGGATTCACATGTTGGTAGTGCCTCCACTTTCAATGAACTTAAAGGTCCATCCTTGACCAACCTTGAAATTCTGTTTAGATTTATATGACCCAAACGCAAGTGCCATAAATATGTTTCACTCAATTCAGGAGAACGTTTTTTCTTATTTGGTAAATCAATATAATTCAGTTCTTTAGAGTGTAACGGTTTAGGTATAGAGTCAACTACAAAAAGACCATCAATCAATGTAGCCGAAGAGAGATAACGTTTATTATGAGTAATAACACATTTATCAATGTCATGACAATTAAAATCATAACCATCTCTCATAGCGCTAGAAACCGAAATTAAATTCCTTCTAACGGAAGGTACATATAATGTGTCTTTTAAAGCTAAAACTCTACCACTACCAAACGAAATACTAATATTTCCTAATGCTAAAGCTGGGGCTGCTGAACCGTCTGCTTGATAAACATTGATTTCTCCTCTACTTAGCCGCCGCGTTACCTGAAACCCCTGCAAATAAGTGCAGATATGATTAGTGGCTCCCGAATCTACACACCATGACATGGTAGAAACAGCCGCTAAAAATGTTTCAACGACAAGTAGATGTAAATCACCTGGTTTATTTTTCAGCTTGGCCAGATAAGTTGGACACTGCTTCTTATGATGCCCAGGCTGCTTGCAATGATAACACTTGCCCGTAGCCTTTTTCACACCAGCAGTCACGCCACCAACAGAGGGTTTTTGAGCCTTTTTCTTTTTC